CGCGTTGAACTCTTTCGAAAGTTTCCGCGCCCGACGCGAAGACATATTCATCGTCATCGGCGGGCGTGATGAACATCGGCGCCGTTGTTGGCCCTGCTGTCGCCGTTGCCGTCACTCGTCGTCGCGTCTGCCGCTGTCGGCGTCGCCGCGATGCCGCGCCCACCCGAGTCACCGACTCGCACTGAAGTGCCCGCTGGGAATTGCCCAGCGGTCACCGACGCCGCGGCCGCGCCTTTCGCGCCGCACTGGCTGGCCGCCGCGCGCGCGAGCATGCGCGGACCAGCGCGGCCGCAGAGATGCCCCGGCCAATTCCAAGCACTCATCGCAATCGTTTTAGCGTGGGCATTGCAGACCAAGTTGCGGGCGGGTGGGCGGGGCGATTGCGCGAGCATTAGAATTGACAACTCATTGCGAGCATGGGTGAAATGCGCGAAATACGATGCACGGCGAATATTGCGCCGCGCAGGTTGCACCGCGCCAAGTGCGCCGCGTGGATTGCGCGACGTAGATTCTCTTGTCTTAGAAGGAGTAAGATCTCCCCCCCTCCCCCTGGATTATGGGCACCATTTTTCGCTTTGCAATTTAGGCGCGATTCTGCCACATGTTAAACTCATACCGCCCCAGCCAGGCTGGCGTCGACAGCCCCAGGCATCCCCTACAGCAAATTGCCCGCGCGCCCTCGTTCATCGAGGATCAGCCGTTTCCAAGAATCCCTTGCAAAAACGAGACGAGGTGCGCGCGCGAGCGTCGTCGCGAGCGCATGCCGAAGTCTTTCACAAACTGCACGTTTCGCACCGATTTCAAAGGCGAGCGTCAACAAAACATATAGACACACGTGGATTCGCAACGCGGATATTCGCAGGAAGAAAAACATGCGCGTTCTTGCGAATCCATGAGAAACCCGAGGTCTTCCACACTTTCCATGAGATGCTGCCAAACGAGCTTCGCGCGCGCACGTCGAAGTCATTCGAACGCCCTTGCGCGCGTGCTGCCGCGAGAATCCCTTGCAACAATTGGGGCGAAGTCCCCTGCGCGAGAACCCCTTGCGTGACATGCGGGCGTAACCCGTTACAGCTGACAGGCTCCGGGAAAAACAAGAGATGCGGGCGCAGCCCTTTGGGTCTTAGGTGGAGTTCCTTATGGGGCCTCGAAGCGTGTGAGTGAGGGGAGTGCCGAAGTACAGGGGGGGCGGCATGCGAACGCAGCCATTGGGGTCTTGTGGAGCTCCCGATGGGGCCTCGAAACGTGTGGGATTCGCCAAGGTAGGGGGTGGCGGCATGCGGGCGCTGCCACTCGGGCCTTCGGTGGAGTTCCTTATGGGGTCAGGACCCTTGTGACGTGTGTGCCGAACTGGCCCGAGTTCGCCATGCGGACCCTGCCACTGAGGCCTTCGGTGGAGCTCCCCATGGAGCCACGACCCTCCTGAGGGGCGTGTCGAACTGGCCCGAGTCCGCCATGCGGACCCTGCCACTGGGGCCTTCCGCGGAGCTCCCTATGGGGCCACGGTCCTCGTGAGGGGTGTGCCGAATTGGCCCAAGTCCGCCATGCGGACCTTGCCGCTGGGGCCTTCGGAGGAGCTCCCTATGGGGCCACGATCTTCGTGAGGGGTGTGCCGAACTGGCCTGGGTCCGCCATGCGGACCCCGCCGCTGGGGCCTTCGGTGGAGTTCTTGTGGGGCCACGAGTGTTGTGAGGGGTGTGCCGAACTGGCCCGAGTCCACCATGCGGACCCCGCCGCTGGGGCCTTCGGTGGAGCTCCCCATGAGGCCACGATACTTGTGAGGGGTGTGCCGAACTGGCCCGAGTCCGCCATGCGGACCCTGCCGCTGGGGCCTTCCGCGGAGCTCCCCATGGGGCCACGACCTTTCTGAGGGGTGTGCCGAATTGGCCCTGGTCTGGCATGCGGACCCTGCCACTGGGGCCTTCGGTGGAGCTTCCTATGTGGCCACGATCCTCGTGCGGGGCGTTCCGAACTGGCCCGACTGCGCTATACGGGCCCCGCCACTGGGGCCTTCGGTGGAGCTCCCTATGGGACCGCGATCCTCGTGAGGGGTGTACCGAATTGGCCCGAGTCCGCCATGCGGACCCTGCCACTGGGGCCTTCGGTGGAGTTCCCCATGGGGCCACGATACTTGTGAGGGGTTGCGCCAGAATGGTGGACATGCTGAGAGCAGAGGCAGGGATGGGAGAAGGGAGGAGGAGGAGGAGGAGGAGGAGGAGGCAGGAGACGAGGAGACGCGGGGCGCTGTCTTTTCATCACGAGGACATAACACCACAGGATGGTTGGGACATACACGCGGTTTTGCAATGTCAGTTTTCAAACATCTTGCGTTCGCGCTTTTGCGGATTCTTAAGAGGCCATCGGGATTTTTACATGTCATCACATTTTGCCAACCGGGCCTCTTGCGCCGCATGGCGAACTCATTCGGACGCTCTTGCTGAGGGGGGCACGATCCGTGTTAAATAAGACCACGCGGGCCAGGCGAGCGCGTCGGCCGCGCGCATGTCGAACTCTTGGAAAAACCTGCGTCGCCGACGCGAGGACATCTTCATGGTTACCAGCGGGCGTGATCAACACGGGCGCCGTCATTGACCTTGCCGTCGTCATCGCCACCTTCGTCACAATCGCCACTCTCCTAATCGTGTCTACCGTTGTCGACGTCGCGAGGACATCGTCATCGTTATCAGCGGGTGTGATCGACATCGGTGCCGCCATTGGCTGTGCCGTCGTCATCTCCACCATCGTCACCATTATCGCTACTCTCATAATCGCGCCTACTGTTGCCGGCGTCGCCATGATACCGCGTCCGCCCCAGCCACCGACTCGCACTAAAGCGCCCGCTAGGAAGTGCCCAGCGGTCAGCTCCATCGCGGCCGCGTCGGTCGCGCCAAGCTAGTTGGCCGCTGTGCGCGCGAGCAGGCGCGGGCTAGCGCGGCCGCAGAGATGCACCAGCCAACGCCAAGCACTCATGTGCCGTCGCATGGGCTTTGCAAGTCAAGTTGCGGGCTGGTGGGTGGGATGCTTGCAAAACCGCGAAATTTGTTAACTCGTTGTTGTGACAAGTCAATTCTCCCTTCTGAAAAGAGAATACACTCTACCCCTCCGGGGTTATCCGTCCCCTTCTTCTGTATTGCAATGTACATATGGTTCTGCCACATCGCCCATCCAAGCTGTGAGTTTACACCATCTCAAGGGGCCGGTATCTCCCCCTCGTCATTTTCTGCGACAGATTTCACGCGCGCGCGTTGATTTATCAAAAATTAGCAGAGCCCCTGAATCCCTTGCAACAAATGTGACGAAGTGCGCACGCGCGCTTTGTCGCGCGCGCCTGCCGGAATCCATCAAAAACTGTTGGTGTCGTAGGGGTTTCAAAATCGAGTGTCCAAAACCATCTTAAAGCACATTGTTTTGCAACAGACAACAACTTTGCGCGCGCTGTTGCGATTTTTTAGAAGACCATCGTTTTCATTTTGTACAACATACCAAACTGGCTGCGCGAGCATGCCGGAATCGTTCGAACACCTTTGTGCGCGTCCCGTCGCGATAGTTTGTATTCCAAAAAATGAGACGCAGTGCGCGCGCGCGCGCATCGTCGCGCGCGCATGCTGGAATCCGTCAAAAACTTTCGGTTTCGTAGCGATGTCCAAACCGAGTGTCCAAAACACATTCAAAAACATATGGTTTCGCAACATCAGCTTTCAAGGAAGCGTGCGGCCACGATCTCGCGACTCCTTAGATAACCATCGGTTGTCCAACATGTTCTTGGCATTCTGCCAAGCGATCGGGCCTCTGGCGCCGCATGCCGAAATCATTCGCACGCCCTTGCGCGCGTGCTGGGGGGGGCACGATCCGTGTCAAATAATACGATGCGGGCCACTGTCGCGCGTTGGCCGTGCGCGCATGTCAAACTCTTCATCACCGACGCGACGACGCCGTCATCGTCTTCGGCGCGATCACCATTTGCGCAGTCACTTGCCGTGCCGTCGTCGTTGTCAGCATCGCCACCAGCATCGCCACTATCATCACCGTGTCTCGCGTTTTCGACGTTGCCATGATACCGCGCCCACCCAATTCGCCGACTCGCACTGAAGTGCCCGCTTTGATGTGCCCAGCGGTCAGCGCCACCGCGGCTGCGTCGGTAGCGCCACCAGAGCTGGCCGCTGCGCGCGCGTGCATGCGCGGGCCGTCGCGGCCGCAGATATGCACCAGCAACCACTCATCGCAATCGCCGCCGCATGGGTCCCGCAAGTCAAGTTGCAGGTGGGTGGGTGGGATGTTTGCGCGAGCAGTGGAGTGGACAATTTCAAGTCCATCATTGGTGAACTTCACCACGTATATTGCACCACGTATATTGCTCCACAAAGGTTGCACGACGCGTGTTGCAACTAGGGTGCATACCATCGAGCACACAGCGCCTATTGCACCACACGTGTTGCCCCCCCACAACCATTGCTGGATTTAGATCCCACAGTAGATGTTGCAGGGGTCCACGTTTGTTAACATATTGGTTGTCGTACTGGTGTTGGCATTGGTGCTGGTAACCGCTAGCGTATCCGTATTCGTTTTCCGAGTAGTGCTAGTAGTCGCCGTAGTCGTATTAGTAATTAGTTTCGTTGGTACGTTTTTTTTGCAGTTTGTCATGTAATTCGTCGGAACCGAATTGTGTTCGCGTCCGTGTTAACATTTGTACAGATCGTCTGTGCTGTTCGCCGCGTTGGTAGTCGTAAGTTGCCTGGACCTAGCAGTGCTAGTCAGTATTCGTAGCAGCTTGTTTCAGCAAAAGTCGTAGCAGTGGTAGTAGTAGTAGCAGCGAACTGTTGGTTAGTAGTATCAGTGATGGTAGTAGCATCATTCGAATAAACAGTTGTAGCTTGTAATGTCAGCATTGTTGGACTAGTAAGGGCCAGGAGGTGGACAGCCGGGGCTCTGCGTAAAGCTGTCCAGGGGCTTCTGCCACAAAGGGCGCCACTTATGTTTATGGTTTTGTTGTTCCCCCAGAGGCCTCGGTTCAAGACGACAAGCACCGCCGAACTTTCGTCGGCGGTCTGATGTGCTGGCGGCGGGAGGATAGGCAGGGGAGCGCCAGGCGTGGATGCGTGCGCTGGATCGCGCCGTTCCGCGCCAGCGGCGCTTCCTCGAAGGCCGAGCTTGGCGGGTGGGTGGAGTGCGCGGCCGCGGGCCAGATCTGCGAGGTCGCCCGCGGCAGCATGGTGAGGCTGCAGCTCCAGTCTTCGGCGGCCGATCCGCCGGTCTCCCGCGGCGCGACCAAGGAGGGTGCCGCCGCGCTTGGGGCGACCTTCTGAATAAGCGAGGGGCTCCCGAGAAGGCAGGGGCCCAGAAGGGTCCAGGGGCTTCAAGAAGCGCTCTCAGAAGCTGGGGGGTCCTCTGGGAAGACCCCTGCCGTCTTAGAGGCCCCTCCGCCTTCTTAAAAGGCCGCCCCCCTTCCCCTACACCCTTGCGCTTACCGCCAAGGTCTGGAAGAATGCCTCCTCGGCCGAGTACGCCGAGAGCGATTCGTCCTTCCCCAGCGTTGCGAAGAGGCTCGCGACCCGGTGGCTGTACAAGATCTTCGACGGACCAGTGCTCTGCAGCGCCGCTAAGTTCGACGCTACTGGCCAGGCCGTGAGGTGCGAATAGGAACACCTTGTCACATAAACAGAGAGGTTCGGCGCGCCGCGCAGATTTTCTGGATACTGGTACCAAGGATCGAGGGCATCGAGGATATCGAGGACATCGTGGTTCGACGTTTGTGGACGTGTTTGATTCTTTCTGCGCCCCCTGGGGCTCCCCTGGGTCGCTCGAGGGGGCCGACGAGCAGCATCGTCTGACATGCATACGCAACGGCAGAAACATTAGACCCCCCTGACGGCGCCTCTGGCGCACCTCCTGGCGCGCTCCGGGTGCCCAGCGTCGATCCAAGAAATCCGCGCGGAGCTCCGAAAGTTGATGATTGTGCTGTTCTCGTTTGTTCTAGAGGTGCGAGTTCTTCGACGCGTCAGCGGGCGCGGGCAGTGGGGCCCAGAACGAGGAGGGCGAGTTCGAAGTCGGGGACAGAGTCCGCGTGCGCGACAGACCTGAGGACGACTGGACCCACGGCGTCGTGAGTTCGGCCTCCCCGTTGCTGGTGGAGCCAGACCGCAGTTATGGCATGGCTTTCGCGTGGGCCCACGTGGAGAAAGAGCCGCCGAAGGAGGAGGAGGAGGAGGCCTTTGACAGGGAGGAGTATGTGGCCATCGGCAGCACTGTCGAAGTCATCCGCGAGGGGGAAAACAAAAACCGGCACAAACACAACTTTGTGAGGTCCGCGCGGATTTCTTGGATCGGCGTTGGAACCCTCCTCCCTTGCGCGCAGAGCGCGCCAGTGGCGGCGCCGGAGGGGCCGCCTAGGGGGCCCCAGCGCAGATCCAAGAAATCCGCGCGGACTGTCAAAAGTTTCTATTTATGCCATTGTTTCTCCCTCCACGTCCGCGACACCGACCTCATCCTGAAAGAGTGCCGTGAGCTGAAGATGAGCACGGGGGATGACAGCACGCGCCTCGCTGCGTCTGGCCAGACTGTGACAGTCAGGGCGGTGCGGGGCGACCAGGTCCTGTGTGAGGTGGTGGCCACAGGGACGAATGTCTGGCTCCCAGTGACAACGCTCAAGCCGGCGACGCTGGTCATATCCCCCCTCGAGGACTGAGGGCAGCACACCCCGCCCCAGCCCCCAGCCGGGGCCCCCACTCTGGACCTGGTTATCCAGGGGTCCTGGCTGGGGGCGGGGGTGGCCTTTCTGGCCCTGGGAGCCCCGAAAGGCCAACACCAACCCTAGCCAGGAACCCCTGGATCATCGGGTCGGCAGTGGGTTGCGCTGCCCTGAAGGACGGCCCAGGGGATCTCGGATACCTTTACCTCTTCGACAGAGCGGCGGCCAGCGGGCACGCTTCGGCGGAGGACTGCGCGTCCGTTCCCGAGGGCTATCACGATGGTGTCGTCAGGGACAAGGAAGAGGACGTAGCGTGAGTTTGCCAGACCGCTTGCGCTGTGTGCGTGTGGGTTCGGCGCGCACGTTTTTCAATAAAACGTTCAAGCCACTATTCCTCGCCGTGGTGACCGCGCGTGGTGTTTTCTGGTCGGGGCTTCGAGGCCAATCAGGAGGAATATTGACAGGTAGAGAGCACATTAGCTGGACCTGAGGGATTGTTATACATGCACCCACGGGCCAGGCACTTGAGGGTTGTATTTTATGGGCGGGTCTGGTGGGACGCAGGAATGGGTAGATTGATGAGTAGTGCAGTCACGGCGGTGACCTTTGGGGTGGACCCCAGGGGCAGCTGGAATAAGGTCAATGGGCAGGACAAGTGAGGCCGGTATGTGATGGCATGATTTTGCGAAAAACCAACGAGAAGGCCAACAGAGATTGCAATGAAGACCAGGACGGATCCTGCGGACGGGATCACGTGGGCAAACAGCACTGCCGACAGCCAGGGCAACGACTGCCAGGTCGCTGCGGGCGGGGCCCCATGCGCAACCGGGAATTGCCCGTGCGCAGCAGCAGCGCTCATGACACGGAGTAGAAGCCATAGGTGCAAGCATTGCTTTGAGAGTGGCACCGCTTTCCGCTGCGCCTCCGTGGTCTCGTCCTCGAGGCATCGCATTCCTTCTCAGGGCCACCTGGGGCGAGGTTACCTCGGGCGCGGCCTTGGGGGAAGACTACTGTTGGACGCCCTTTTTGAGTGGACGGCAAGTAAGAGAAAATGGAGGAGCAGGAGGAGGAGGAAGGAGCAGGAGGAACGAGGATATATGGGGTCACAACGTGCACACCCTGGAGATCCCGACGTCTTCCCGCCCCTGGAAGCCGAAAGCGAGAGAAAATCATCCGTCGTATGTTTTTCCCTGCGCGAGGGGTCTGGGCCCAGGGTCGAGAACCGACCCTCGGACCCATCGGGCGTATTATGATCGGAATGTCCAGGCGGATATCCAGTCGTGGTGACGAAAAGCCCTCCAGAGACCCCACAGACGACCAAAGGCATCCCAGAGCCTCGATCCGCCAACCTCAACCCTCGAGCCTCGATCCGTCGTAGTCTTTGGAGTCGGCAGCAGCTCGCGACATGGTCGTACAGCTGTGGTGTGCGGAGTTCTGAAGCATATGCTGAACAGCTGGCCACATGTTCTAAAACATTTTAGAACATGAGCTCCAGCCTCCCTCCGCCCCCTGGAGGCCGCGTGCGCGTCAGCCACGTGCTCCTGCGGTGGGCCGGGCTCAAGGGCGCGGACGCGGAGGAGCGCCCAGGATTTCCGCCGCCGTCCCGGAGCCAGGCTCGCGGGACGCCGCGGCGGGTTGGGTGCTGGTGGCCCCGAGGGGCCGTGGGCCTCGTGGCTCGGCGGGCCACCAGAGCGACGCAACAAAACGTGGTCGTCTGCGCCGACATGCGTGCGCAAGCCCCCCGCGTAAGGTCTCGCGTAGGCGCCCTCGTCTCCGATGTGGCGTGCTGCGCTGGCGGCCTGCGTAGACCGCCGCGTAAGGTCGCTGTGTCATCTCGCGTAAGACCCGTTTTTGATCGCCTGATCGCCGCCCAGCTGGCCTTCCCTGGAAAAGCGCACGGGGCCACCTCGCGCCAGGGTCACCTTTGGCAACACCCACAGGGAGAGCGAGGCTGTCGCGAGGTCGCCATGAAGCGTCGAGGTTCCATAAGTTCGGGGATCAAGGTTTGGTAGCATATTTCTTCCCTATTGGTCCCCGGTGAGGATTCACATCACCGCGGCTGGTCCAGGGCGTGGTTTTAAATGCCACCATGAGGAAAAGTGGTTCTGAAGGACATGATGTGTCTTGGAGGTTTTGCGGTCGTGTTCGAGATCCCAGGGTCCTCGGAGCCCAGGGCTGTCACAAAGCGGCACGATGAAAAGCGATTTCCAGGGAAGTGGTCGAGTCGTCCGGGGAGCGGGATTGCAGGCCGCCCAGATAATCCAGAACAGTCCACGCCCTCGATGGATCGGGAGGGTGAGTTCTTCTCTTCGGGTGAAGCCAGCGGAAGGCCCGCGGAAGGCGGCGGAAGTGACTCGGCGGCGGCTTCGCTAGCAGAAGGCCTGCGGAAGGCTGGAGGAAGCAAGAGCTGCCTCTCCAAGCGATGTCTACAGATTTCCCTAGTCTGTGAAGGCCGTAAATCATGTTTCTAAGAATGCGAGGGTGCGGCAATCGTGATCTGGAGTCCCTGGGCGCCGACTGGTTCCCGTTGTCTCCCGTCCGTTGTCTCTCTTTATCTCCACGGTCACTCTACCAGCCACGATGTGAGACTGTTTAGGGTCTTCTGCCACAAGGGTGTAATTGGGCCTCAGAGCTTCGGAGGTGGCCAAATCGAGGTCAGGGCAGCTGGATTCGGAGGACCGCTCCGCATCGCCAACGCGTCGGTGATTCGACCGCGATCCAGAGCACGATTTGGTCCGTCCCGACGTCGCCGATACATCGGCGATGCGGTGAGGGCCTCCGACCCCTTCTCGTCCAGCCCCGTCATTCTGGCGGCCCCCGCGGGGGCGGACAAGGGCTGCTCCGCGAATCTTTTTTCTGCTGCCGGGGGCGAGCGGTCCCAAGACCGGATCTCTGCGGCCGTACGCCGCCAAATTTGGCCAGGTCCGCCCTCAGGGTCCTGTGCCAGCACGGTGCGCCAGTCGGAGACCTAGGATGGACCTAGCCAGGGCTGGTGGCGGATGGCTGGTTAACACGGCCTCCACGATGGCCCAGTTGGCCGCGAGACAGGGCGGGGGATAGGAAGAATTTTGCCAACCCTATAAGCAGTGGGCAATTCGCCAGCCCAACGGGCCAGAGGCGTGCTGAAATCTCCGGCTAAAAGTTTCAGAATGTTTCCAGTTCGCGCGCGCGCGTGGCGGCCCCTGCGGGCCCCCGGACGAACAGTGCCCCAGCAAGGTCCTGGCAGGTATGGGTCACAGATGCGGGAATTCTTGGGCGCGGCCTTAGGGTCCACCGGAGCGCCCCAGGAGCGCCCGAAGTGGGCGGCAAATAAGTGGCAGGCCCGACGGCCTCAAGCCAAGAGCTTTCCAAGATGGCCCAAGTTGGTCTCAAGACGGCCCAGGAGGCGCCGAAGATGCCCCAGGAGGGCTTCAAGAGGACCCAAGAGGACCCGAAGAGGCACACTTCGATGGCTTGGGTTTTCGAAAGATGTTGGGGTTACCGCCTTCTCAAGCTTCCGACCGCAAAGGATGGCCCGAGAAGCCTCCAAGATCGCCCCAAGTCAGCCCAAAAGGCTCCCAAGACGGCGCACGAGCGCCCCAAGACCGCCCAAGAGGCCTCCCCAAGATGCGCCAGAGG